ATATATATATATATATATATATATATATATATATATATATATATATATATATATATATTAGATGTATAACTAAGTTCCCGTCGTTTTTCATCAAAAGTACTTTATTAATATAAAAGAAACAGTACAGTTGTTTTAATCAAAATATTTGCCATTTGCATCTATCACCTTTTATCATCTTTTTGGCAGCATATGGATGCGAAAGAATGGCTCGTCTTTCGATAAAATCGTCTTCCCTCTCAATTTTCTAACATCTGTTTTATTTCGAAAGTGTGTATCACAGAGGCTGTGTTGCATCGATCGGAATAAATGATAATCAGACGGCGTTATGTCTGGAGAGTACGCTGGGTGAGGAAGAACTTCCCATTCCAGATCATACAATGTTTGTTTGATCGCACGAGTAACATGAGGCCGCGCGTTGTAATGGAGCAAAATGACTTTGCGCCGTTTTGAGGCCACATGTCGGCTACATGTCGGCCGCTTCTCTTGAAGTGCTTGGTTCAAATGATTTCATTGATCCACATAACGTTCTGCTGTGAACGTTTGACCCAGTGAAAGGAGCTCATAATAGAGATGAGCCTCCATGTTCATCCTACCAGATACAGAAGAGTAGCTTCTTGCCGTGTATGTTACGTTTTAGTCGTTGGTTTGCCCGGGATTCACTCACGATTTTTTACGCTTAGTAAATCCATTTTTCGTCGCCTGTTACGATTTTCCACAAGAAACTTTTCTTTTGCTATATTGACTTTTCTTTTGTTGTCTTGTCAACAGTGCGAGACAAGTGTTGAAACGTCGTGCACAATTTTCCTCGGTCAACTGGTGCGGCATCCATTTTTCTTCCTTTTAGATTTTTCCTATTGCGTGCAATCGCTTAGAAATAGCGGCTTGAGTCACTCCAAGTTGTGTTGCAAGCTCTTTTTGCGTCTGACTTGAATTTTTATCCAAAAGAGCTTGCATCTTCTCGTCTTTGATTGTTTCAGGCCGTCCAGAGCGCGGTCGATCACTCACGTCGAATTCTACTTTTAAATTTTGTAAATCAATCTCGGCACGTTCTTTCTGCCACAACATTGTCGCCATACGTCTCACAAATAATTCTGGTTGCTTCAGCTGCGGTCTTACCGCGATGAAAATAATGAAGCATGCAATGGCGAAGATGTACCGTTTCAACGTTCATGTTTCGTTGAACTAAAACTATATTTAACTGTGAAGTAGCCAACCGTCATAGCATTGTTGGAATGTATATTAACCAACTTTACTAATAAAACAAAACAAATATTAGCCTCAACAGCCTCAATATGCCGTTGTCAATACCATTTGAAGTAAGCGGCGGGAACTTAGTTATACACCTAATATCAGGATTGATAACGTTACTTTATAAAAGTAATTCATTATCGTTACCGTTATTTTCTCTAAAATGTAACTCGTTATAGTTACTCGTTACAAATTTTAAAAAGTAACTCGTTACAGTTACCGTTATTTAAAAAGTAACGAATCATTACTTTTTCGTTACTTTTTTAAATGCTAAAATAAGACTAATTATGAGTTTGATAAGGGAATATGTGGAATATGGATATGAGCATGATGTAAATATAAAGGTGTACCGTGAATGCGCAGTCGTCCAAAATAATAGCTAATCAAAAATGGCCAAGAATGTTAGAATCCAATATGGTTGCTGACAGTACACACGTCGTTGTGTTATATATTATAAGAAGTTAAGAGGTAATATAAAAGTAAAAGAATATTAACAACATATTGTAAGTATTTTTATATAAATAACGCAATGAATATCTAGTGCTACAAACTTATACGATATATACATATATATATATATATATATATATATATATATATATATACACACACACACACACATATATATATATATATATATATATATATATATATATATATATATATATTACAGATTTTAAGTTTAAATACATATTAGTAATGTACGAATTTTGGGCATTTAAATTTCGCGGCTGCATTCCTGTTTATTTCTAATTGGTTCACTACATATTACTATGCGTGATCATCACATTGCGTCATCATGCGCCTTTATATTTACATCATGGATAGAATAAATTGAAATATAGGTATATCTGATACATTATCTCTCTCTTAAGGATAGATTCCTGAGGTAATTTGAAGAAAAAAATCCTAATGCAAAAATGTCGAGGCTATAATACTTTTCAAATTATAAACGATTAAAGTTGACCAATTATATTGGCTAAAGTACGCGCGCTCAGGTACGGTACAATATACAATGGTACAGATACATGTACATAAGTGAGAATTTGCATAAGATATGAAATTAGTTGTAAATTCCTGAAAGAAACGTTAAATGTGTGACAGCTTACTGATTCTCATAAATGTATTGTGTGATATATATTTTATTTGTGTGATATATATATATATTTTATTCATAACATTTTGACGAGATTGTTATTATATGCAATATGTTTATTTAAATGATAGAAAAGGCAGATTATTATTACATATATTGTTGTATGTATAGAACTTTCGTATCAATATTTGGAAAAGGGACGAAATGTGCATGTACCTATACTACTGTGTGTTGTACCGTATCTGAGCGCGCGTACTTTAGCCAGTATAATTGGTCAAATTTAATCGTTTATAATTTGAAAAGTATTGTAGCCTCGCTATTTTTGTATTAGGATTTTCTTATTAAAATTATTTCAGGAATCCGCCCTTAAGAGATAATGCGGTGGTGACGGGACACACTGTATATTTGAGATATATCTGATTGGATATCGCTCGTCGCATCGTATATTGCGCTTGCTATGAGACCATTAACGATTAGCGACGAGCGATGAACGATATCTAATCAGAACTCTGCTTTAAGAAGAAATAAGAGTTCTCATTGGATATCGCTCATCGCTCGTTGCTAATCCAGTGTACAAAGACTAAGCCATAGGCTTAAAACATAACTAAAGTGACCAATCACAGTCATGATTGCAATCTGCCAGATTGAGGATGGACTATGATTGGTCATTTTGTTTATTGTTACTGGTTTATGTATAGGCCGAATTTAATAGATTTAAAATAAAAAAATAACTATTAGAGTAACGAATTAATCGTTATCGTAATATAGTTACCGTAAATGTAATTATGTTACTGTTACAGTTACCGATCAGAAAAAGTAACGTTGTTACCGTCATAGTTACCGAAAAAAAGTAACTGTAACGGTTACAAGTAACTCGTTACTTCCCAACTCTGATAGATATATATATATATATATATATATATATATATATATATATATATATATATATATATATATTATATATTTTATATATATATACAGGATGTCTCACATTCTTCTCCGAGCATTTTGTGGGGACGTAGAACAGGTTAAGGTGAACATAAAAGTCCTATATCGTTTTACGATATTCGCAATAATTATCGAGATATTAATTGTAGAAAATTTGTGAATAATCATGCAGGATATGGTAAATGAGTTATAATAGCGACGACTGCCAATGTGTACTTATATTTTAGGTCAAATTGAACAAAAAAGTCCTCTACCATTTTGCAAATAATCACATTTGCAAATAGATTTTTAATTATTAATTAAAGAAGATGAGTGCATTATCACGCAAAATAGTGCAATAATCTTCTTTAATTAATAATTAATAATCTATGTGATTATTTGGAAAA